GCCGAAGTCCTGGCTGTCAAAGGGCCAGCGGCATGCCGTCTTCGAGGGCGCTGCGCCTACTGATTCCTCATCTATCGCTCGCGGCGAAAACCTCGACAACGCCCCCCATGAGATCCTTGCCTTTGTTCCCTCGCGTGCGCCCTCCCGCGCCAGTGCCGGGCAGCGGGGCCGCCTCCTCCCGGGAGCGAGCCGCCTCTCGCCCCAGGGGGGGGGGCGTGTCCACGCTCGGAAAGCTAATCGCGTTCTCCAAGTCTCGCGCGGTCGTGGGGGGCATCTCCTATGGTCTCGCGTGTGCTCTCCCCGCCATCTACGCCCAAATGACCAATGCCAGCAGGCTTGCATCGAAAGCGACGTTGCGGGCTCGGCCGCCGCGCGCTGTTCAGACTGTTGCGCTTTCTCCGCCCCGTCGCTGCGCGCGAGGCCGCTGCCGCCAAAAAGAGTGTGTGTGTGGTGGGGGTGAGAGCAACAAGAATAATGCCTCGTCGACGACCCTGGGCGCCTCCGCGTGCTGCTCAACTGGCACGGCTAAAAACTTTCTTGCTTGTGGTGACCACTGCTCTGACTGTTGCAAGAACTGTGCCCGTCCCTTTCTGGTCACGGGGCTGGTCCACAGGCTGATCAATAATTTCAGGGACTGCGCTCGCAGTCGCCCGTGCTAGTGGTGCACCCGCGGTCGCGCCTGCGAGCGCGCCTCCTGCCCAAGCTGGGGCCACTGGTCCTGTCGGGGCTGCTGACCCCGCCGCGGCTGCTCCTCCGACCGTCGCGACTTCGGCTGGGTCTTGGTCGTCACGCCTACGTCGCCTCGCAGACATCTGCTGCCGTAGCTGTGTTGCCTCCCATCGTGCCTTCTGGATCCGCGCCGGGCCCGATCGCGGCCAGCGCGGCCGCTTGGACCTTCATCGCTATGCTCTCATTGAGGGCGAGCAATTTCTTCTTCTCCGACTCGTCAACCTCGAGGACGTCGACGTCGAGCCCCTCGCCATCGATGATCTCATCTACGTCGGCCCCCTCGCCGTCCAACAACTCTGTTATATTGATTTCCGACCCTGCTGCCGTCTGTGAACGCGGACCTGCTGCCGACGGCGTATTGCCTCCGTCAGGCCCTGCTGACCCTTGAGATCGTTGCAGGTTAGGGGCCAACTCTTGCTGTCGCGCCATCCTCGCGTCGTAGACCTGAGGGCTGCCGCTGTCGCTTCCTCGCGTTCTGTGTGCCAAATCTCCGCCTTTTCTTCTCGCGCCACCATGGCCTCAATGTGGGCCTGTGCGCGGCGGCAGCCGCCCCCCCCCCTGGCCGAGATGGTAGCTTCGAGCAACTGGTCTGGGGCGGCATGCCAGCAATTGCGGGGGCCTTGCAGTCACGGGCACCCTCCGGGGCCTTGAGATCGTCGGAGCTCGCTGCAGAAAGGCCGGGGCGGTCTCGTAGTTGTCCCAGCAAGCCCTCTATGGAGACACCTCCGTTCTGGCCCTTTCCGCCCTCTGACAAGGCGACGGTCTGCACGGCGGCGGTGTCCCCTTCTTCCACGTGCCAGGCGGCCCGGGCACCTCCTCGCTGCTGCTTCTGCTGCTGCTGCTGCTGCTGCTGCTGCTGTTGCTATGGGTGAACTCCACCTGTACCTGCGCATGCTGGAAACAGATTCATCTTTTGGCATCCTTCACGGTCCGTCCGAATAAAAATGTGTGTGCGCAAGCGGTGGGTGTCACGCCCCAGTGCAATAGACTGATGTGTGTGCTGCCAAACGGCCTGGCAAAACAAACAAGATCGCTGACCCTCTTGCCAACGCTTGCGTCCTGAACCTCCCGCTGCGGACTTTGGCCAAAAGTGCCACGGAGGAGAGGAGGAGGAGGGGATGAGGGACAGGAGGAGGACGAGAAGGAGGAGGACGAGGAGGATAAGGAAGGGAGAAGGACATAAGGACGAAAAAGATAATAAAAAAGGGCCTCTCCCGCGGCAGTCGGCCCGAACGCTCATCGAAACATGGGGGCATCTGGGAAGCTTCGTGGAATCTGCCGGAAAACCTCGCGGGAAGGCCTGTAGGAAACATTTTTGGGGTTCTGGGGGCACCTTGGGAAACGCGCTCTGGGGCGTCTTGGGCCCCTTTCGGGGCCCCCTTCCGACGCTCGTGGGCGGTCTCGGGGTCCTGTTGGTGGCTTTTGGGCCTCTTTGGGGCGGCCGTAAAAGCCTCTTCGCCCGTTTTAACTTCTGTTCGTGCACAGAGGGCGAATCTGCTGGAAACCTACGTTTTCCAGTAAGAATGTGGCGACTTCTGCCTTTTGGGACTTACGGGGAATCTGAAACTGTTTTGAAGCCACATGCTGCTAACTGGAGCAGCTTGGAAGCCATCTGGAGCCGTACGGAAGTCTTCTTCGCTCAGCTTGGCTTCTCTTGGAACTTATGGGGAACCTCTGGGGGGGCCGGGGCGCCTCCGGGGGCCGCTCGGGGATGCTCTGGGGAGGGCCCCGGTGGGGGGGATGGGGAACTTCCTGTAGCCTGGGCGCTCCTGGTGTGCTGCGGCCCTGAGGTCTCCGGGGCCGAATTTTTGGTAAATAAATATCAACAGATTAGAGGACTCAAATCAAGGAGTCAGAGAAATCGAGCATGCTTGGGATCCGCAACTCAGCAAGCAAGCAAGCGTGCAAGCAAGCGCGCATGCAAGTGCGCAAGCAAGCGTGCAATCGTGCAAGCGCGCAGGCAAGCAAGCAAGCAAGCAAGCGCGCAAGCAAACAAGCAAGTATACACAAGGGGGGTGCCATTGGAAAAAGGGTGGGGGGATGGGGATAAGCATACGCATAACCATCGGAATGTGGGGGGGCATAAGAATCGGGGGGAGGGGGGGGCAACGAACCAATTAGTAAGGTTTGAGCTAGGATTTCTGTAGGGCAAGCCTATTTGGAAGACAAATTCTTACATGGGAAATTTGATAATGAACGCAAAAGCGGTGCCATCGAGTGAGTCGGTTCCGGTTCTGGTCGTGCACGGCGAAGCTGCACGACGCCGGCGATGTACCGGCTGAAACTGAACCATATGCAGCAAACCGAAAAATGATTTCCCGTGTCCCGCGGTGACGCATGGGTTAGTCCTGTGTGCGTGGTGTGCATCGTGATGTTGTAATTTGGGTGGTCCCATGGTTGTGTCGAGAGATGGGCCGCACATTCACGTGTACTTTGTCCCGTGGTTGTCCCGCGGGTTGCTTCGTAATAGCGACGAAACAAAAACGGGGAAACCACAAGATAATTAAAGCAAACATCTGCACGGCGCCAATGATGAACGCCACTCTTCTCCATGCCCACGTGGGCCAAAACATTCGATCTGACCGTCGATTCCTGTGGCTCGGAGCACAACCTCGGTGCGCCCGCGTGCACGAGACACGAAAGGACGTTGATATCGCAATTGAGAAGAAAATCGCTCTCTCCTACGAATTCTTATAAACTCTTCACCAATTAAATATTGGCAGGCTCCCTTTGGGGCGCAATTCTAGTGTGCTGCTAAAGCCTCGTCTCGTTTGATATTTGTTCTTTCTCCAGCCCAGTCTCTTTCTTCACTATCTTCGAACAAGGCCCGACCTATCAAACTCAAAAACACCCTGGGGGTTGTCCCCCAAGTTCTTAACCGTTCCAGGTTGTCCCAGACTCTCCACACAAACCCCATCAGACGGCAGAGTGGAATCAAGGGGTCTCTACGTTGGCCCAAAAGGGGCCCTGACGAGAGCCCCGAGAGCCCAAGGCAGCCGAAGGTGGCTCTTCTGATTCTCCGGTTTTCTGTTCCCACTGTGTCCCGAAATGGTGTCAACATGGCCCACAGGGTCCACGTTATCGCCCGAGACGGCCCCAGAAGTTCCCCAGATGCAATCCATATCGTCCAGCATGGCCTGCCAATGCCTAACAACGAATACTTCATAATATATCCAACGCCTGTCCAACGACGGTGATCAAATTCATTTTCATCCCCTTTCGCCTCCCCATCCTGCTCCCAATCATAAGTATTTCTCCGTGGCGCGCCACTCCGAATTGCGTTCGCAGAAACAAGCAAGTCTCAAACACTCGGAACGGTCAATTGGTAAACAATCGCATGGCGAAAAACTGCAACATGACTTCATGACTCCATACTACAAATTTGCTCAAGATACGTGCCGCCAGTTCTTCATACGGCAACTCGAACAATAATCGACGGACTCAGCAAGACATCGAGCCCTGTTGGCGCCGTAACAACACATTATCAGCATTAGATACATGACAAAATATACCAAAATGCAAGATGAACTTGTGCACGGTAACTTTGATCAACGGCTTGACCTTTACCACGAACGGACTGTACGGTATGTTGACATATCATGTATCTAATATTTCCGTGGGAGCACCCGCTTCGGTATGGAAGCGTGAAGTGAAACGGCTTCAAACTGGGAGGTTTTGGAGGGCGAGCGCCGAATCCATAATGCGCAGGCGCTGGTGCATACTCAAGCTGGCCCGAACATCTGGCTCGTTCTGTCCACAAGATGAGTTTGGCTTCCAACGCCTGAACATCTTTCGCAGCGTGCGCAAGTGGAACGACCTATACGGGGGGCGGCCAGATATTAATCTTATGTTTCCCCACGGCGTGCGACGCTCTGCCACCAGGCATACGAAGGCTTCACCGTGGTGCTTTTCGGAACGCCTGAGGTTCCAAAAGGGGATGTCAATACCATGCTGCCAACGGAAATATCCTAGCGCGACATCTATTTTTCATATCGTAAAGCAAACAGCTCGAAATAACTTGCGGATCGGATTCCCGCATCGCATCCGGCCGTAGGATCTCATCCCATACGAAAGCTCTGGCGCGATACCTGCTTACGCCCACGCGAACATGATTGCACCCTGCGCGTGGAAGCTTCTCATTGCAAGCAGTAGGGCGAACAGGCGAACGCCCCACCCACGTCATGTGGGAACTGCCCGTGCGGTGCCCTCTGCCTGCCTGGGCTGGTGGCCCCCGGCTGCCCTGCCTGGGCTGATGACCCCCGCAGCGGAGCCTGTCAGACACGCCATCCTCGATGTCCCGCGCCCGGACGATGCTCGCCTGGCCCGCGGCCTCGACAGCGTCGAGCCTGGCGACCGCAAGGAGAGCCTCCAGCACCCCCCGTCAGACCAGCGGGCCCAGACCCCCTGCCGCTGTGGAAAAAGCATGACACTACTTTTTGCTGCTCCGTCTTTGGCATCTGCGGGCCCTCGCGGGGTCTTTGGGCCGTCAGAGAACGACTCGGGATGAAAAACCGATCCCGGGGACGGGGTTTAGACCTCCGCTGGCCGACGTCGGGCCAGAAAATATGACGTGGGGGTCTGGTAGTGTCGACTCCCAGAATCGGATCGGATCGGCAACGGATGGGATCGCCCGTGAATCGTCCCGGGCCGAATCGAAAATGGATCGCCGCGCCAAGCTGTGGCTGGCCACGGCCGATGGCAATGAATCCAACCGAATCGAATCGAACCCGGTTCGCGGCTCCAGCTAAGCGATTCGAATCGCATCGAAACGGATCGTAGGCGGCCCTGGCCAGTCTTCAGATCTACTGGGCGCCCGCTCTTCTCTCTCGCATCTGCCAGCCGAGAACCACTCTCAGCTTCGGCGGTGTGTATTGATCTGAATGACTCTACTTATCCTCCTCCTCTATGGCCTCCTCCTTTCTCCTCACCTGCCCCAACTTCTGCCCTTGCCCTCATCGCCTCTTTGGGAGACCCGGCAGGCTTCGGTCTTGCGAGCCCGAAATCCACGTAGAGAGAGGGACGGAACGGCAGCCTCCCTTCAACTCTTCGCGCGTGACGCGCGGGCGATCTTCGGAGCTGAAAACCCAGGACCCCGACGTCATCATCATCACCATCATCATCATCATCATCATCATCATCATCATCATCATCATCATCATCATCATAATCATCATCATTATCATCATTATCATCATCATCATCAACATCAAAATGAATTATCGCTATTATTAGTATTCTTATCCGTCTTCTTCTTCTTCTTCTTCTTCTTCTTTTTAGTATTATTAGTAAATGTTTATGTATTCATGTATTCATTACTGGTATCACTATCATTATCAGTAGCATCATAATCATTATTACCATCATTAGTATTATGATTACTACTCCTACTATTAATACCATCATTCGTATCATTATCACTATCATAATCATCATCATTATCATCACTATTATCATTATCATTACTACTATTGGTATTCGTATTATGCTTGCTCTTGTTCTTATTATGATTATGACTCGTATTATTGTTGTTATTCTTGCTATCATTATGCAACACGTATTTTACGATCGATACATATATTTCTATATGAATGAGAACATATAGTTTTGTGGATGGACTGTTGTTTGTTTTCCTCCAAACCATTCTATGCTGGCTTCTCGTTTTGAATCGAGCACTGTGGTCTCCACTCCTCCTTTCTCCCCACTCCTGCCTGCTGCCGCATACTTCCTGCGTCCCTGTTTCCTCTTCGCTCTCTTCCTCCTCCTGGTTCTCCTTCGTCCAGCTTGCGCCACCTGGTCACTTTCGTGCAGGGGGCTCCTCCTGTCACCACTTTCGTGGGCTCCTGGGAGGTCCAACGGGGTTGAGTGGTACGCAGACCCAGTTGGGACCTCGCGGCCATCTAGGGAGCTGCGAAATGAGTAGCTGTCGCCACTTTCGTGGGCTCCTGGGAGGTCGCGCGGAGTGGAGTGGTACGCAAACCCAGTTGGGACTTCGCGGTTCCCGCGGGGGCTGCGAAGTGCGCAACCGTCTCCAATTTCGCGGGTCTGGGAGGTCCAGCGGACTGGAATGGTACGCGGACCCTGTTAGGACCTCGCAGCTCCTTGCGTGGTTGCGAAGTGCGCAACCTTCGCAACTTTCGTGGGCTCCTGGGAGGTCGCGCGGAATGGAATGCTACGCAGACCCAGTTGGGAACTCGCGGCTCCCTGCGTGACTGCGAAGTGCGCAACCTTCGCCACTTTCGTGGGCCCCTGGGAGGTCCAACGGAGTGGAGTGGTAGCCAGATCCAGCTGTGACCTCGCGGCGCTCCCTGCGTGGCTGCGAAGTGCGCAAACTTCGCCACTCTCGTGGGCTCATGGGAGGTCGTGTGGAGTGGAATTGTATGCAGACCCAATTGGGACCTCGCGGCTACCTGGGGGCTGCAAATTGCGCAACTGTCGCCATTTTCGTGGGCTCTTGGGAGGTCCAGCGGAGTGGTGTGGCACGCAGGCCCAATTGTGACCTCGCGGCTCCCTGCTTGGATGCGATGTGCGCAACTCTCGCCATTTTCGTGGGTTCCTGTGAGGTCGCGCGGAGTGGAGTTGTACGCAGACCCAGTTGGGACCTCGCGGCCCCTGTGTGGTTGCGAAATGCGCAACTGTCGCCATTTTCGTGGGCTCTTGGGAGGTCCAGCGGGGTGACCCGGTTGGGACCTCGCGGCTCCTTGTGTGGCTGCCAAGTGCGCAACTGTCGCCACATTCGTGGGCTCCTGGGAGATCCAGCGGGGTTGAGTGGTG